CAGTGAATTAAAGTCTTCATGTTGCGGGGCCCTGTTGGCTTTTGGATCCCAGTTTAGACACCAACCCTGGTACCAACAGGGCTGTAACTCACATTGTGCTAAATAGGCAGAGAAATAGAGTTCCCTATCTTCGTAAAAGAGCGTAAAATAAAAGTCCCTATATATTGATGTGTCCCCTATGGAAAATAATTGAATTCAGGGACTGTAACATGAGTATCAGCTCTGTGATCTCAAGAATCAGTTCCCTGCGAGGCTTAATGCCTTGTGTAAAAATAGCACGATTAAAATCTAAATTCGGAATGATAATCAGCTAATACCTCTAAACATACTTTAAATCTGGAGTTAGAGGCAGACTTTGAAGTGGATTTTCTTTATCCTTTGATTCGGTAATCTAAAGGGTTTAGGTAATGCCACCTTTACACACAGTGTGCTGGTGACTTTCGTGTTTCTGCAGGAGAAACTGAAGAATATGTGAGCGCTTATATAATATGTATAATATGTGAGTTATTTAGATCATTTCCCTCAGTTGATCAGTAGTCCACTCATGAAGCTCAGCGGGCTGTGTGTGTTTCATGCGACACCTCCTGCTGCTCCTGAAAAGCTGCAAAGATCTTTCAGGCAGCTGTTTTGATGTGACACACCGGGAGGAGCCGCTGGATCAATACCTGGCCACAGTGTGTCACTTCCATTGATCTTGATGGCAAAGGCCAGAGAGCTCCACTGAGCAGCCCCCGAGCACAGTCCGCAGTACGCCTGAGGAAACAGAAAGAGGCAGAGGCAGCACAGGGCTGCTTGATATTTCTGTGGATTGAAGAATAAAAGCTTTATTATCAGACGGGTTTCCAGGCGGTGTTGTTTTTGATATTTCACCATAACAGAGAGTTGTCCGTTTATTGTTTAGTATAAAGGCAAGCCTCCCTGCAGTGAATGTTGTGAGCACTGGATGTGGTTTTGGGGGCTGTTCGTGATGTGATGTGCTGTCATTTCCATTAGACTCAAAGGCTGGCAAGAAAGGACAGTTTGACACTAGTTTGGGATGAACGTTGTCTGCTATCAACCAAGTGGTTTGTAAAATCCTCTTTGTGCTTCTATTTTTGAAGCTCACAACAGTCTCTGTAAAATGTTCTCAACATGACATTTTATAGTTTCCTCTGAAAGCCCAGCTCCAACCCTCACAACACACACGTGATAATGAGACCAGTGTGTGTATGCTCAGCTCAGATAGCGTGTCCACAATGATGATCGGTCTGTGTGTGTGTGTGTGTGTGACCAGTCTGCAGGCCTTTTGGGGGCTACTATTCTTTCAGATAAAAGTGTTTTCACAGATGGTTTAAGTGGAAGTGAAAGGCCAGAGCCAGATGTTTGAAACCCCGTGAGATGATGGACAGAGCTACAGGCACCCACTCTCTGCTTGCTTCAAGCCCCCGTCTTCCCTGTTTGCATTTCTCAGAAAAAAAACCTCCGGCTATTTTGTCCCTCCGTGCTGTTGAAGCTTTCATGTAACCTTTAGCACTTCACAGACCTCAAAGGGTTGTCCACACCCACATCAGCAGTACTGCCTCACGGTGATCAGGGACAGCATCATCAGACCCAGCTGCTGATTCAACAGATCTCAGCTTAATTTTAATGGATAGTTAAAAGACACTTCTTTTCTTTGTTACAGCACATGTCTTGGGGGTGGTGGGCGTAGTACAGTGTCATCCTTGCTTTAGGGTTTCACAAATAATGAAAACTTAAGGTAGTATTAGAGTTGAAGAACCAGACAAGGCTCTGTTGATGGTTGAACTTGAGTCCAGGTGGAAGTATGCTTTAGGATACAGTGGGTGATGTGTCATCCTCAGACTTTCAGTGAGGCATACATTAACAACAAATACAGAGTCCTGAAATGATCCGGGTTCAGCTGTGGAGAGACTAGAAGTGCAGTGACAAGTAAAAAGATGTCTGATAAAGAGAGAAACGTTGGTGAGAAGAGTAGTTAAGGTTGTTTAATTTCTAATGAATGTGGTTTGTGCAGCCTGTCAACAAAATAAATTATCAAGATTTCTGAGGACATTTATCTCACCAGCAGCATGATCACTGAGTTTAAATCAGACTGAAAGAACTTGCACATCACTCACTTGTTTTATCTGTACAAAAAGCAAAATGTAAATTTAAGAAGTTGAAGTTTGATGGTGAGTTTTGTGTTGGCACTATTGCTGTCTGTGTGCAGTGAAATAGTTACAGGATGCAACTCTCTGTAAAACCACAAATTGATGTTTTACATTTTGGTTTGTGTGCAGATTAAACAAAGGCAAGATGTTTATGAGTGAGCGTTAGAGGTGCTGGTATGGCTATTTTTGAGCTTTGGAGAGGCTTTATGCTAAGCTAAGCTCATGGACTTCTGGCTCTAGCTCCATACTAAACTGACAGACACGAGGGCTACTGAAGAACTGTTGGACTGGAACATAGTGGAGGTTAAGGGTTAAAGCCATAATTATTACTGACAGTAGGTTGTAATTGTTTGTATATGTTGCAGTGAAACCAAGCTGACCACTTTTCTGAGAGGAAAAAAAACACCTATAAAAGTTGAAAGGGTATGAGTGTATCATACGCCAAAAACAGACATGAGGGGAGTACAACTTTGGTAATGAGTCAACAAAAACCAAAATGAAACGTGTAAGCGTCGTTGCTGAGACACAGTGTCACACTCTGGGACAGCGAGTGCACTGTTCCCAATAAGAATGTACAGAGAGATTATATCTGTGTTTACCTTTCCCTCTTCTGTCAAAGCAGAACTTGAATGGTCATATCTTAATTGGACCGTGAATGCTTTGCAGATTCAAATGTGTACATTGTTTTGTTCTCGACTTGCCTTTATCATTTTAACATCTAAGTTGTTTGTTAGAGAGATAATCCTACAATTCAGAATGCAAATGCTGCACAGCTCTGTTTGCATACACTCCTGACAGTCTGGGTAACGTGTAAAATATCTCCTGTGTTGTCAGTGTGAACGGCCACCTGTTAAGATTGTGTTTGAAACAGGACTGCAGACACTGCCGGACATTTAAGTCGATGAGTTTAGAGAGAGAGAGAGAGTGTGTGTGTGTGTGTGTGTGTGTGTGTGTGGCCCGGCTGAGCCTGTGGCCCTGGGCGGAAGCACAGCGACAGAGAGAAAAGAAGGGATGTGTGGAGAATGGGGCAGGGGAAGAAAGCAAAACAAAGATAGATGCCAGCGTGCTGTCGTCATGCCAGAACTAATCCATTCAGCCGCTCGCCCGTTCCCTGCCTCCAAACAGAAAGAGAGAGAGAGAGAGAATGGGAGGCGATGTGCTGGAGATGAACCCTCTGGGAAATGGCCCCTGTGCGGGAGTAGAGGATGGAGAGCAACAGTGTGCAGGTCATCGTGAGCTCTGAAGCTTCCTCTGTGGTGCTATATTACTCATGCCCCCCCCCGCTCGCCTCCGCACAGGACGGAGGCGGAACTTGCATGCCACTGATGAATAATTGACTTATTAAAATTATTATAATGCATGGCTGTTTTCATTCTCAACGCCCACTCGGAGGTAAACTGGGCTAATGATTAAGAATATCTTTCAAGTAACATGACTTTCCTTTTACTAACAAATTCTCTGCCTCTCCCTAACCTATAATGGTAATCACTTCCTGCCTGTGCCATCAATGTCAGAGGCTTTCACTGCGGGTTGAACTTCCTCTACGCTTGACTTCCCTTTCATTCCCCTCTTCAGGTTGGCTTTATTTGACGGTTTTATTTATATATAAATCACACAAAGAACCCAAAGCCACCCAACATTAAATTGGTGACACTGCTTATCTCCATGTCAAAGTACTACTACATTTTCCAGAAACACAGAAAAGAGCTATACTGTAACACTGGGTGACATTTTCCTTCATTACGATGATCGCTGTCCTGCTCAGCACAGCACTGTCTGTACCTCCCTTAGCTCACCTCCGCTCACCTGTTCACGGGCTGTTTCATATTTATGTGTATTTTCACAGGTAGCTATTGCTGGAAGATCATTTGTCAACATAAAAGAAAAACAGTAATGGCAGTAAAATGTATACTTTATCAATAAGGTGTACATTTAAAAATGAATTACTAAAGATTTTAAAATAGTAAACATTCTTTACTGAGCATACATACAAATCAGGTATTTTTGCATTATGAGAAGAATGCTTCCCCATCCTCAAATGGTCTTACTCACTGGTAACTTATGGCCCATGGATAGTTTATGTCTGCAGGAACCTGCTTTCTTACTTGTTTAGGATTATTTTGGGGGTATTTCTGCCTTTATTTGACAGTTCACAGACAGGAAAAAAAGAGAGAGAGAGAGAGAGAGAGAGAGAGAGATGGGTATGAGACACAACAAAGGCTTCAATCAAGGAGGATGTTGCGGTTACAATGTGGAATTTGCTGTAGTCTTTCAGCTACCAGGCTGCCAGCTGCTTGTATTGCTTATGTCGGATTGTTCTGTGCATCAACCTTTTCTTAAAGGATGTGAGTCTGTGGTGTTAACAGTAAGCAAGTACAGTGAAGTGAAACTCCAGACAGACAATGTGATGCAGAGCTGTAGGAGGCTGCAGGTAGTCTACGTTGTTCAGGAGGCACAGAACAGAGTCAGAAAGAAAGAGAGGGAACACTACAAATACTGTTCTTCAGGCTTTAACCAGGTTTTATACTTTACTACTATACTTAAATTTTACAATTACATTACATTACAATTACATTAAGGACTTTTACGTACCACTGTTTAATTGTTTGGTTCACATTTTTCAAGTCTTACTCACACACTCATGCACATTATGAGTGTGACTCCAGTTGTGCTTCCTGTCCACAGGCTGTGATGTAATCCCTTACCAACATTACTCTAATGTAATACAGAGTGCTGAAGCATCATATTAGCTTCAGATTAACTTTAAAATAAATTTTTACACAGAACAAAGGCTGTGGATTTAGTCCCCTTCTGTCTTCCATTGGAATTGAATCATGAAGGGGTCTCTTCACACTGTGCCACTGTGGACAAAATACAGAAACTTATTATTATTATTACAGAAACTAATAACTCTTTAAATGTACATATGGGGATGTGAGTGTTGTTTTTTTGAAAGGTGAAACCATCCTTTACACGTTAATAAATATTATTATCCATAATGAAGTAAACATTGTTTAGAAATAATTCACAATTAAATGACTTGTAAACATTTTAATTAATTTACAAAGATGTATCAACAATAACTTGGTTAATGGCTTGTTAATGACATGACTGATTAATATATGAGGGATTACATATTTAATCATTTAATAATGATTATTCAATCATGAACTAATGGTTTGATGGTTGTAAGCTGTAACAGCAAAAGTCCCTTTCTAAGTTGTGATAAGTTGTGATATGGTGTGATCATGAACTGTACAGCTGCAGAGATGGATTTTTTGTGGCAACTCTGACTGGCTTGTGTGTGTATGTACACGTGTGTATCAGCATATGTGTGAGTCACTACTGTGTGGTTGCTCGCCCAACTCAGTTTGAGGAAACAACTCGTTTTGCTTCAAGCACAGTTCATATGATGGGGACAGTCAGGACGACACCCCTGTGAGTCAGTCCTGCATTTCCATAAGCAGCCTCGATCTGTGCACCTGCTGTTCATCAGTTCATATCATACTTGAGTGAGGCGACGGCTTAATGGGAAACATTCTGTAAATGAATCTAACACTCAATAGTTCTCCCTTTATAAGCCGTGAAAAAACATGAGATTGAGTTTAGGCATCAAACTACAGAACAGCACAAAGCTGAGACAGATGTGCTGCTTCGTTGCCTTCTTTCATTTTCATTTCGAGTATCTGAACAGACACACAAACACGTGGGAAGCGGCCTCACACCTCAAGCGAGGCGTATGTTATTTTAGCAATGTGTGTGTCCTGTATGAATCAGAGCAAAGCAGGACCTGAGATACTGTCAGCTCACAATGTGCTCAGGATGAGTAACATTAAAATAAGCCTGTTATAAACCTGTTAGTTTTGCATTTAGACATATTTCCGTGAAAAGTGTAAATTATATGGAAATCAATATAGGATGTAATGCCCCTCTTTTTTTGTTTGTTTGCACACTGGTTACTTTTATAATTGAATAGTCAGAATTACAGGATCATAATATCATAATAATGTTCATTCTTTACGATTTCATGTGTCCAAACCAAATACAGGTTTGGAAGCAGACACTGGAAGCAGACTACTCTGGGTCTGTGTGGTGCATTCACGCGCTTGTGTAGAGCTCCAACATTACAATGTTGTAAACAGTGTTTCATCTTATCAGAAAACCAAACAACACATGTCAAATGAATTTGTTAGCTTTTTCCAGTAACAAGGTATTTGTTTGAACATGCATCATTGAACTTATTGTGTATATTTTCAGTCATGCTAGCACAAATGGCAGTCAGTCCACCACTTTGTTCCAGTCTGAAATATCTCAGCAACTATTGGATGGATTGCCATGAAAATTGCTACACACATTCATGTCCCCATCAAGATGAATTTGTATACCTTCTGAACACAGCATGTGTCTTATTAATGTAGCTGTGGGATTGGATGCTTACGTTTGTTCCTGTGTTTCTGATGTTGTCTTTTGTTGTTTGAAAAAAGACTGTGAATAATGTAAGGTGTCACCTTAGGCCACACCAACAATCAAAAGCCAACCCCAGTTCACTTTCTCTGGGCAAAACAAAAGCTCAGGACATCTCTTCGGGTGTGAATTTAAACTCAAATCCTTTTCTGGACTATTTTCTTCTTGATTAATAAAAATAATGCTAGCTTTAAGCTTTGTTATGATTTTGAGACTTCAAGGAAATAAAATAAAGATGCAGGTATGTAAACAATCATGAGAAGTACAAATATAATATATTCACATAAATTATTCGCTATCACAGAAAAAGCCCCAAAAATGTTAACGTTTTATTCATCTTTGCCATGTTGTTGTGTTTGTATCTATTATAGCTAGGCTGTCCTCCTAATTTGAGGGTAACATTTATCCATGTTGGGAACATCAGTAAGAAAGTAATCACTGCTGTGTTTTCTCCAGGTACAAGGAGTTGATGACGGGAAAGACCGCCAGAGAGATCATCGCTATTTTATGGATCCTCTCCTTTGTCATTGGCCTCATCCCCTTTTTTGGCTGGAACTTAAAGTACCAGAACTGTGCGAATGCCAGCGCTGGTGCGAACAACACTACAGACGCTGGCCTCACAGAGGGGCTGAGGGGGGGAGGAGACTTACTACGGAGCTGCAAGCTCATGTGCTTCTTTGAAAGTGTGGTGGACATGCACTACATGGTCTACTTTAATTTCTTTGTCTGCGTGCTGGTGCCGCTGCTCATCATGCTGGGCATCTACATGAAGATCTTCACCGTGGCCAGGAAGCAGCTGAGACAGATTGAGCTCAAGTGCGTGGGCAACGGGGACAGCCATCACCACGGGCTGCTGCAGAAGGAAATCCGGGCCGCCAAATCCCTCTCCATCATCGTGGGACTGTTCGCTATCTGCTGGCTGCCCGTCCACATCCTCAACTGCCTCACGCTGTTTTACGAGGAGCTGGAGAAGCCGGGGGTTATCATGTATGTGGCCATCATTCTGTCTCACGCCAACTCCGCGGTCAACCCCATCATCTACGCGTACCGCATCCAGGACTTCAGGAACACCTTCCGCAAGATCCTGACCCGACACTTTCTGTGCCGCAGGGAGGAGCTGTACCTCAGCTCCAATGGCAGCAGACGCAACAGAGACCAGATCCACATGACCATCGACCCTCTGCTATAGAGGAAGTCGTGACAGAGGAGCATTATCTGTGTCAACTTTGTTGTTCCACTCTTGAATTTTAATTTCACTGAGTTTTATAATGTTTACAGACCAAGGGTGTGATATGTGAAGATGAACCGATGTCAGACGCGCCATGAATGTGGACACTTATTTATGAATTGTGCCGAGTATCAGGGGTCAAGCAGAGAAATGTTGAATGGTGAGTCTTACATAACTTTTGTATTGTGAAGGATTTCTGATTTAAAAAAAAACATGTTCAAGCTAACTGGATTTGTAGGACTGTGAACAGGATCCAAACTTTGCTACATTCTAAAAATCTATTTATCATTCTGAATCCACCCTGTTACAACTCCAAACACTCCTTTTTATGCCCTGATATTTTATATTGTCAACATCCAGTGCCAGTGTTTATTAATTTATTTATTATGAGACCTTATCCTTGAGAATGTAAAGATCAAAAAACTTTGTGTGGCTAGATCTGTTCTTGTGGGCCTAGAAAGGTACAATAGTAGTAGTCTACATCCGTGCTTATTTTTGGCTTGTGACCCTTAAAATGAATCCATGCTCAATATACAGAAAGAAGTACAGGTTTTCTTCCACTGTGTGTACAGGAGGAGGGACACAGTAGTCTACAGAGGGGTCAAAAACAACAGGGACTCTCAGAAATCAGAAGAAAAGGAGGAAATTCAAACATAAACAAGAAATTATGAATTCTTTTATATCCCATGAATCATCTCCCAGAGCCTCAGGGGTCCCAAAATGATCTTGTGACCACTGTGGCTAAGAGCCAGAGATGCTTTGGTATCTACCAGATGAACAGCATGATTTGATTCAGTCACAGTTATAGTAATTTAGCTGCGCTGGTGCTCCACGTCATTTCCATGTTAACACGACAAAAGCTCAGGAAGTGGGAAACTGATTGTGCCCTTTATAGAAGTATGGCATCTGCACAAAGCACTGTAACCGCTTTGTTTTGAACCAAGTGTTGACATAAAAAGAAAAGCCTATGTCATATTTGATACTTCAAATCAGTGTAATTTACATTGTTCCTCATCATCCAAGCTTCTGGTACAAACAGTTTTGGGGTGCTTACATAACGGAGAGCACCATTGCTTTGATTCAGTTGGGTGTGTATGAATGTCACTTGCCTTAGGAGTCCAGCTGACAACCCATCTCCCCTCAGACGCAGTCTCAGCTGCGATCCTGAGGCTCTCATCTGTTAGCGCAGGCAGTCCTCCACAAGCTGCTGAAGTCACCGTCTGAACGGAGACGAGCAGTTTCATTTCAGAAAACAAAGACAGGTTTAAAATATGTTGCACCAAATCAAACACCTAATGAGCCTCCTTATAGGTGATTCAATTCAACCCACAAAAACAGAGATAATATTTGAGAGTGAAGCAGGTAACACTAATGAAATGTTCCGCGCAAGGGAAATTCTTACTTCTTTACACTCGACTGTGCATCATAGTCTGAGGCATTTCCACCGAGTCCTGATGCTTTGCTTCTTTTTCTGTCGGGGTTAGCATTGTTGAGCTTACAAAACTAAAGACAGGGGCGAGAGCTGATGAATCCCAAAAAAAGGTCTCTGTGAATTTAGTCAAAGCAGCGTTTTGTCTGGAGTGTCGTAATTCATGTGAAAAAAAAGAGGGTGAATTTGGTCATCCGAGAGCCATCACTACACAAACACATTGCACTGACATTTTAGATTATTTCCCGTTTGGTGTGCTTCATTGGTGGTGTTGAACCATGTTGTGTTGGTGTTTATCAAGTGTTCTGAAGTTGAGCACTTGGCTCCACTGCTTCACTATCTCTCCTCATTTGCTGCTGTGTCCAGTGTACCACCTCTGACTAACTTCAAGGGCTAAAATACAGGAGTGTGCCAAAGTTTTAGTACATTCCAATGGAGACATCTATACTGTAACTGCACTGTAACGTTGTATTATTGTCTTTGTTGACTGATGTGTAAAAATAAGTACTGTAGGTGTCTGCCTTTTTTACTAGCTATTGATTGATGTCAAACTGTTGCCTTCTTTTACAATTTTAAAAAGGTGAGACGGACAATGACAAGTTGATCTAGTTCAACATTCCTGCCTTTCATTCCGAAGTACCTGTCTGTCAGTGTGCTATAGTGTTGTTACTAATCAGGAAAAACATCCACTGTGGTCAAGCTGATGTTCAACCTTTCCAGAGGCCATTCTACTCTCATTCAACTGCGATACTGCTATTTAACATGATGCAATCTGTATGTATGGTGAATTATTTTGTTAATAAAGGCAATGTTTATATTGTTACAGACCAGTGTTTATTCATAAAATTGCAACTTTAAATCATTTGACCATTTATATTTATATATGACACATTGTTAAAGACTGAAGTTTCTTACATTTCTTGCAGACATTCGCTACTTCCCTAATTGATGCAGCTTCAGCCAAAAAGAACCTAAAAATAAAGCCGAAACATTCTCAATGAACAGATGACAGATGTCGTCTCCCTGGAAACAGACTAAGAGCTCTTCCAAAAGACAAAATAAATAAAGCAACATCTGGTGTCTTTCAGAGAGACATATGAAAGAGCCGAAGCCACGCTAATGATCCCGTGCTCCCATCCTCTCTGCAGTGACCTAAAGAGGCCAGTTCCAAACATCGGCTCTCATCCTCGAGGGCGTGCTGGGTCCACCTGCTGTACTGAATGTACCTGGGTGTCACGGGGGGGCTGTCCCACTGAGCAGCATGGACATCTGCTGATCGGACACACTCTCCTGCTGAGTCACGCCCATGGCCTGACACAGGTAGACGGCCAGGATGTGTTTGCACTGGGAGAAAAGAGCGCAGACACAGATTCATTACGTGAACACGGGCGCTGGTGTGATTGATGGTACGGATATGAAACCCTAACGACACTTCAGTCATTTAAATTCAAAGGTCTCATGAAAACACCAGAGTAGAGAGGAGCTGCTGGCTCTGACATACTGGGAATTTCCCACTGAGTAATAGTTTAGTCAGAGAATAAGAATCACAAAGCAAATGCCAGGACAATTTCCAATATTTCTATCAAATTATAAACATTTCTATAAAGGAAAAGCACATGTGATTAATGCTGAGTGTGTGTTTGTGTTATGAGTAAGACGTAGCTCCAGTCGTGCGTGTTAAATGTCAAAAAGCCCTGCAGTTCTGCATTTGTGTGCGAAATGTGTCACTGAACACATTAACAACTTTTTGTCGTTATTATTAACATTAACATGTTAATCATTGACTTGTTTTCACCCTCAGCCTATTCCATGCATTATAAATGAGATTTCCTCCACACTAACGCACCTGTGGATTAGAGTTTTACATAAGCAATGAGCCAAAGTCGGAGTGTGGTGAAAAGGACAAAAGGTACAGAAGTTTGTTTACTAGCTTCTCCTGTTGACTGTTTATTAGCACATGGCTGTCTGCTGCTGTCTGTGGGAGTCCTCCAGTATCTGTCCTCTGACCTGCTTGTCAGAGCAGAATGGACCTTGTTTGGCCTTATCCAGTCATGTTGGAATCTGCAGAGCCCCCGAATGAGCAGAATGGCTCCAGCGGGGGAGGACAGGACAATGCATGTTGGAACGTCTCTGGAGCGTCATATGGTTTAGACTTTGAGCCTAGAGAGTTATGTTAAATTCTGATCCACTATAATCTTTTAGCTTCCACACATGTAACGTTGCAACATCAACTCCACTTTCATCTCCCTAGCTATAAAAGTTGCTGGAGCGTTTGATGAGGCAGTAAATAGTTTTATTTTTCTGTCTTCAGTATTTTCATGGGTAATGATATCAGTAATGCTGATGCACTCTGGGGAGTCTCCACGGTCTGTTGCAGCTCTCTATTTCTCACACTGATTTTAGCAGCATCCTCCAGGGAAACAATTCTTTCTGATACTTTAGAGCAAACACTGGCGGTCAGAGCGGAGACGCCCCTCAGTGACCAGACAAGAACGTGACCTGACCACAAAACATCTGTTGCACACATTTCAACGTGTACTTTCGTCTCACTTTCGACTGGGTGACGGTTTTCTCCAGGATACACGCCTGACTGACGAGACACAATGACTGTGAACGGCTTTTTAAGTTATCTGTGTGTAAATACGCTGCTGTATACACTGTGTACCATATATATATGTGTTCATACAGAGTTCAACCCCAGCAACACACACTGTACATACAGTTGTGTGTGTGTCTTCTTATGTGTGGGGTCTGGTATTTGAATATGTTTTTATACTATCAGGGGCGTAATTTCCACTGGGGGTGAGGGAGAGAGGGAGAGAAAAGAGGAGGACTTAAAAATGTTTTAGGTATCTTGTGCTCATAAAGGCTACTCCCATACTGTCTGATAGGTGGAGGTTGTTCAATATTCTCCTAAAAGATGCTACAAACATCAATCTAATATTAAATATTAGTTATGACAATAAAGAACAGTTCTCTTTTAAGTGAAGATGCACACACAATATTTATCTTCAACAAAATCAACAAAAACTAAACGCTATTTTTAAGTGCCATTAATGCATAAAAATGAAGTAGTTATACATATATATTTTAAATGTTAAAAAATTGCAGACATACTTTTTTTAATAACCTAACCTTTGTGTCCTCCCCACTTCTGAAAACAAACCTACACTCATGTGTATAAATATACCTCAAGATACTTTCTGTGATTGAAAAAAAAATAAACCTTTTTATATTAAACTTTTTTTTTCTTTCATAAAACTGCAGCCTAAAAGTTTGATATTAGTTAGGTTAAAGTATTTAAATCAGAAACTGGTCAGTAAAGAAGAATACAAATCTCAGCATTCAGTGCCAGTTTTCAGTACTTGGCAGATTTTGGTTGGTACTGTTAAAGTATTGAGGTTTGATATGCAGCCCAACGTGTGTGTTAACAGTACTCACCAGCGGGCCCTCGTTTCTGCGGAGCACAGTGTAAGCGAAGGCTGGACACGGGCAGTAGTGACAGGACACAAAGCAGGTGTACAAACGCCCAGAGCCTCCTATCACCTGCAACAAATTCATGCAAAGTACATTTAAATATGTGGAAAAGCTTGCTTTGAAAAACTTTATTTGAAAGATCATACACAGACAGGTGTGAGTTTCTTTATGAAGAAGGAGATTCACAAATCGAGTATGATCCCAATGCTGTTTGTATTGGCAGTGGTTGAGATAGTAAAAGCATAGAGAGGCATGAAGGAAGGTCCTTCAACTAGTCTAGACATGACTAGCTGAGCTCTGAAAATCAGAATAGTAAAACATATCGCTCCGTCCTAGTTATGATGTCATTTGGAAACAAGACCTGCAGCTGCTTCATGTGTGAAATCAAACTGTTCACACATTATGACAGCAGTCAGGATATTTTACTGGGGTACAGACATACCTTCTGTTTCACAGCTGTAAGCCCTCCCTTCAAATACTGATTTGGTTGGAATATCTCAGTCGTCACTGTTTCAGTGTCACATCATGATGTCAAGTCTTCATGCCGTGACTTCCAGCTTGTAGAGTCCCAACTTGAACGTGTTTTTGGATGAACTCTCCATTTAAATGTTTCATAGACGTGACAGACCAGTGGTTTGGTTGAAGGTGAGGTTGCTTCCACCAACCTCATCATTTCACATTAATTATTTAGAGGAGACGAGGTAGAAACGATGCATTTTTTAACAATCCATATGTGGTGTATAATGGCCTCGGCTGACAGAGCCTCCTGTCCACCACACTGGCGCTCGCTCCCCACTGCAGACAGTGATTTAGGTTGCATCCTCATGCACATGACACATGAGGACATTAAGTTAGTGGATTAGCTTGACACTTCACAATAACTAATGCCTCCCAAGATGGCAGAGCAGGCTCCATTATTCTCCAGAGCTTCGATAAATTACCTTTCCCTGTGACCTACAAAAGTAAAAACCTCTTTTCTTCAATGTGACACTTCCTTATAAATAAGGCGCACAAGAGACAATTACATGGACTTAAAACACCTCAGTAAAGATGAATAAAGCACCATGCACAGCATGATCAGCACAAAAACAGTAAAACTGTGGAGACCAAGCCAAGGACTGCTACAGTTTCTAAAGAGTCAAGTTTATTGAAAACCAACTCACACTTGGGCCCTTTTTGTTGTCTGCTGTCATCATAGATTGTGAGTCTCTGCTGCAGCTCACACTGCAGAGCTGGCAGCTAACATCATCAGCAAGACACCACAAACGTCAGGCTTCCACTGCCTGGCATCGATCCTGGTTTCTTCAGAAAGACACTATACATCAAGATCTGCCATTCAGTCGCTGCAAAAGGAACAGTGAGAGTTAAATCCTCAGCATAGCTCCGTCTTCGTCTCTGCCTGAAATGCTGGCTCTCACGGGAATTAATCTCTGGAAGTTGCCATGAGCCAGAGGGCCAGGAGTTTGGACGACCCTCTGTCCACTGGTTCCACACCACAAACAAGGCTTTAGGGAAATTCAAAGCTCTGGGAAGTGATTGAGATACCCAACCCCTGTATCTGAACTCCAACATACTGCATATTTGCATCAACTCTTATGGGTCATTGGCTGACTAATACAACATGCTGAGTGCTTCAAGAATTGCCTGTCTTTCATGAGTGCCGATGAACTACTTCTAGTGCTAAAAATCCTTCTTCCAAGCCTCATAGAGTTTGTTTTACATTCCAGTCAGGAGAATGGTTTGGAAAACCAATCCCACTGGAGAAACATGTCAAACCAGATCTGAGGGACAGAAAAACTGATACTCCCATCTAGTATCTTTTTATTCTAATGTATCCTGCAATTGTACTGTTCTGGGAATATCCACAAACAAGGTCATTTACTGAAACAAAACCCAGAGATATTCAATTTACAATTAGACAAAACAGAAAAAAAACAGCTATATTATATCGGATGAAGCTGGAGCCTGCAAATGTTTGGAAGTTTTGCCTGAATGAAATGATTAATCAATTATCAAATAATAATCAACTACTTAGTCAACTGGTCGTTTGGGAACTAATGTCTTCAACCGCAACCTCAGTATTTATTTGAATACCGCAATCCACAGTTTTATGTCTCATTACTGTTGAGAACTACTTCTACTTCCCAACAGGCTGCGGTACAGTGTCTCCTAAAAGGTCATGAACGTTCGGAACAAGATAAGGTGAAAAATCCCAGCAGTGAAATGCCATGCTCTCATGAGTTATTCATTCCGGAAAGGGGCGACCAAATAACCACTACAACATAAAAAACTAAATTGTGTCCAATGGAAAGAGTACACTGTGATAACAGGAAATGACAAAGATGGCAGAACTTGTTAATTTATCAGACATTTCAGCATTTGTCTGACGCAGTGGCCAGTTAGCACGCAAGTCACTGTACTTCCAGTAAACAAATTCATTTCTGCTTTGTTAAGAATATTTTCCTATATATCCGATGAGAGAAAACTACTCTCTCATCCTCTCCACATACAGGAAATTTGTTAAGACTCTTGACAAGTGGATGACTAAGTGCAGTGGTGCTTTATTTTTAAATGAGAAATTGGTCCTCAAACTGTCGTCACTGCCTTCGTTCTCTTCCAGATGTTTAACAATGTTCTTGTAACTCACACTGCTGTCGCATGCTGCCCAAATATGGTCTAGCAAGCAAACAGCACTCCAACCTGAAAGGACATGGCTGTCACGACTTGACCTTTGATACTCAGAGTGACATCTTCATCTCCTTTCTTTCAACTTTTAGGTCTTAAAAGTCAGAGACCTGCTGCGATTCCATTTAGCCAGAACCTAAATGATATCTTAATGCCATGCCAGCCAACAGCAGCCTACTGAAGCACTCACTGTCAGATTTAAATTGAGAGTCAGAGAGCAGGGTAAAGCTAAATATTTGTGGCATGGCCTTGAGACAGACACTGTGTATAGTCCCACTTAATGCATCACTAACTGTTCAAACATAAAACAGACCTGCCAAGATCATAGGAACACTCACTACTGCTAATGCCACAAAATCCACCTACTCCAACTCTGTCTTCCAAGATTTATGACAAAGAGAAAAAAGAACATTATTAATATGCTATTTATGTTTTAAAGCTCCCCGACAAGGTCCTGTGGATTACCACGCTGTGCAATGCTACTATTCCCGAAAGAGAAGGCTGTGCCTGCAGGTTAATGGAAAAGCATCAGGATTCTTTAACTTGAACAAATCTGAGTAGCCTGACAAGTAATAATTATTCTAATTACTTAAAGCTTTCCATAAAATACTCAAATGATGAATGAATCAAATGTATAACCTGACGATTTACCCTCTCATTACTTTCAACAATGTTTGGTTGTGAAACATTAAAAGCTTGCCTTTGAAAACAACTGAAAGGGAAATATTCTGGATTATTTTAAATTAATTAATTCATTTTGGATTATTATTAGGGATCAGTGTGTAGGATTTAGTG